AAAAAAAATTTTCAGCTAGTTGCCAAAGCAACATTTCTCATATTTATTTACTTTATTATCAACTTAATGTACTAAAATATATAAATCTGAAATAAAATTGAATAAAAACTATGTAAACATTTAAAAAACAATTACTAATGAAATGACAAAATCCAGATTAATTGAGATTACAGATCTAATCTTGATGCAGTGAAATACAATGTACAGTTTCTTAGAAAGTGAAATCTTTATCTAAATGAGTGGTGTCTGATCCTGCTTCTATAGCGTCACCTAGAGTTCAGCTCCAGCCCTAATTAAATACACCTGAACCAGGTCTTCATGATCGCTAGAAACTTCCAGGCTGGATTTAAACACTGGAGGAAGGTGGATCATGGGTATAAAGGTTAGTTGTGGCTCATGGGTATAAAGGTTGGTTGTACCTGTGTGGACCCGGTGATGTGTGTCCAGCTGGTGTTTAAGGCTGAACCTCTTGCTACACTGTTTGCACTGGTAAGGCTTCTCTGCTCCAACACCCCTCCTGAGTGAGCGCAGAGATCGCCTGTCCCGTCCACCTCGGCCACAGAATTTACACCTCAGCGCCATTTCCCCAGAACCTGCCAACGGATGATGAGAGAACAGTAAGTGGAAAAACTGGTGGACTATAAATAGACCTATTCTCTGTTATCACTGTATCTTTCTAATGCAGTTTCATTTCAGAATAAAACCACAGACAAAGAGGTTTGAACAGCCAAATGTGGCTCTATTGCTCCGTTTACGTATAATGTTCAGAGTCCATTTAAAGGAATAGTTCATCCAAAAAAGAAAAATGTGAAAACTCCAGTGAAAAAGTCCATTCCCTGTTGTCCTCTCACATCAACATTTGCCAACATATTTGTTGTTCTGGATGGTTTTCGCTTGTAAACTGTGCTTGATCTGTTCATATTTCTCTCCTGATTCAGATGACTTTAATTAGCAATATATGGATAGATGTTAAAAGTTTCTTAATGATGAATGTATCACACAAATGCAGCTTTTCACTTCACAAAACGTAGTCATTTGGATTACTTGTGGATTATTTTGGTGTTTTTATCAGTTGTTTGGACTCTCATTCTGACGTCACCCATTCACTGCAGAGTATGCATTGGTGAGCATGCAATGCTATACATTTCTCCAAATCTGCTTATATGAAGAAATACATCTTCTACAGCTTGGATGGCCTGAGGGTGAGCACATTTGAATTTTCTGGTGAACTATTCCTTTAATTATCCTTTTTTTTTTTTTGAGAAGAGTTGTGAATTCACCGATACATTTTTCAATTCTTTTATATATATTTTTTTGGTTAATTGGAATATAGATATATAAAATATAAAGTAAATATAATAAAATATTAAATAAAAATGTAAAAAATATAAATATTAAGCTTAAAAAAAGCTTAGAAGTACAAGTACTTAAGTACATAAGTACAATAATCTATACAGCTGATAGATAGACAAATAAATAAAAATATATCAAATATAAATATTAAACTTAAAAACAAAAACAAAAAAAATAGAAATGTTTCCTTGGCAATTAACTAGTTAAAGTGATCTGTTCATATTTCTCTCCTGATTCAGATGACTTTAATTAGCAATATATGGATAGATGTTAAAAGTTTCTTAATGATGAATGTATCACACAAATGCAGCTTTTCACTTCACAAAACGTAGTCATTTGGATTACTTGTGGATTATTTTGGTGTTTTTATCAGTTGTTTGGACTCTCATTCTGACGTCACCCATTCACTGCAGAGTATGCATTGGTGAGCATGCAATGCTATACATTTCTCCAAATCTGCTTATATGAAGAAATACATCTTCTACAGCTTGGATGGCCTGAGGGTGAGCACATTTGAATTTTCTGGTGAACTATTCCTTTAATTATCCTTTTTTTTTTTTTGAGAAGAGTTGTGAATTCACCGATACATTTTTCAATTCTTTTTAGCACTTACCTAAATTTTAAAGTCAAAGATATACATGCTTTTTAAATAAGCTGTTTATTTCCGTTATAACAATAAGCTCTCAAATAACCATAAATGGTATCTCTCACAATGAACCTGTGACATAAATAGTGACCTTTCGACTAAAACTAAACACATCTTGGTCACCGAGCTTCAGGCCAAAAGTGGAGCTGCGCTTCACAAGAACGCAGGGATATTTTTGGTGTGATGCTGGTCAGCTCTTTGGCCCCTCATATCTGCTCAAATGTGTTTCAATTTGTCTAATGCGCTGCTGGTGACAATTGTTCCATTCGCTAAAACACCAGTTAACCAAGTGTGAAGGTGAAAGGAGACTTATAGTATCATCTAAATATTAATCTAAAAAGCTCTTTACAATACGGTTCCATTTGTTAAAATATGTTAATTACATTAGCTAACATGAACTAACAATGAAAAATACCTCTAATGCATTTGTTAATCTAAATGTTAGTTTACTAATACATTATTAAATCAAAAGTTGTATCTATTTATATGTAACGAACCAATGAACAGTTGTATTATTAACTAACATTAACAAAGATGAATAAATACTGTAACAAATGTATTGCTTGTTGTTAATGTGGGACCAAAATAATTTAGCTTGTTTATTACAGAAAACAGAAAAGTGCACCTAAAAATATTTGTGATTATTAAAATATAAACCAAAGTCTAAAAGCACTAGTAAAACTGATTTATTACGATATTTAATAATAATACTATTTTTTTACTTTGTTTTAATGACAGCAGCTTTTGAGCTGCATGAACATGAGCATGTTGAGCATCTTGTGTGTTTCACTGGATGCAAGGAAATATTGCATCCAGTGACCTTTATACAAATGCATTTTTTATACAAAGTTAATTTTCCTTTGTACCACTTTCAAATGACTTGAGAAGGAGACCACATCTTTATCACTGAATACATATCTAAACATGTGGTCATTTTCAGCCAATGTAGATGTGTGCATGATGTGCAGACGCTGATTAAATGGTTTGCAGCTGGTAAGAAAAATGTTGCACAATTTTCTTACAAAAAAAAAAAGTCTAAAGTTGAAATTATAAAGAATAATGTATGGCTTTTAGGGCTTTTGTACATTTTATAAGTATTTATTATTCACATAATTTGTTTAAAATGTCATAACATTTCTATGAAGTTCCTAATTTAAATACAACAGATTTTAAATGTGGACCCAATTATACAAGATTCCAGTTGCTAATATCCTTACACAGTTAAACAATGTACATCAAAGTGTACATTAATGTTATAAACTGAATAAATGAGGATTGAGGGACACAAAATATGAGGTCTGACATTGTGATGTCTGACTTGGGGAGACTAGTTAAAAATACGGTCTTAAGAAGTTTTCCGAGAAATTTACATACTGGTAAAAAAATGTATAGACTGAATGCACTGTAAGTCGCTTTGGATAAAAGCGTCTGCTAAATGCAAAAAAAAAAAAAAAAAGACTGCTTGTTATTTCCTATTCGGAAATTCTTGCTGGTAAATATCCAGGTCTGTTAAAATAATAAAGCAACCAAATGTTTATTTTCTATTAACTGTTAAAGGGGCAAGATTAAAATTGATTTATGGTCAAAAATAAAGTGACATCTGAGCTTTGGTAGTGCGCAGCCGAGGGGCCCAATTTTAGATAAACACATCCTGTGGCAACTCTCTCTTGGTGTGCGGCCTAGTTTATAGCTCTCCCCCTGTCCACACACACACACACACTCATACATACACACCACATCCTCTCCTGTAAAGCTAAAAATGTGAAAAAAAAGCATGGTTAACACTTTCTGTCTTTATATTCGCGAAGACCTCGGTTGTGACAATCATATGGACGCTTGCAAGGTTGTGTAAGCTTATACTTCTGAGCTCGTTGAAAAAGTAGTGTGAAACAAAAGCAAACATACGTGCCCACGTCTGACATTGTATTCACATATATATATATAAACACCCACACATTCCCACATACCCCACACTCTCTCTCACATATACACACACATACACTAACTCAGGATGCAGCACAGTAATATAAAACTTCTGCAGAAACCTGTGCCTTTACAGCACAAGTTTGCTGTTCGAAAAGGTGGCGTTGAACATTCTTAAAACTGAGGATATACGTTGTTTGATGCATTTTTATAAAACCAAAATCTATAAAAAGTAGAAACTGTGCAGCTGGTAACCTAAAATGACTTTAGTTGGCGTAGCCTATATGAACCTAATGTTGTCATGTTGAATGAGTCATATGCCACCGCACTTTTAGATTGTCGCAAACATTTTCATTAAAGTTGAAGAAAATATTCATCTTATATTTCAGATTGTAATACACATGTTGTTGACATGCTGTTAATGCACTACAACCCTTCTATTTTGTGTAATTATAGACATGCAATTGTATGACCCTATAACGATTACGACAAGACTACATGAAATATGCTTGGTTAAAAAAAAAAAAAAAAAAGTCCACCACAGTTAAAGAATTAGTCCACTCAAATTTGTACTCATCCTCAGGCCATCCACGATGTAGTTGAATTTGTTTCTTCGTATGAACAAATTTGGAGAAATTACATCACTTGCTCACCAATGGATCTTCTGCAGTGAATGGGTGCCGTCAGAATGAGAGTCCAAACAGTTCATAAAAACATCACGATAATTCACAAGTAATCCACATGATAGTCCACAAGTAATCTACATGAAAAAAATCGAGGCGTTTTACCTCTAAACTGCCACTAGTAAACTTGTATTTGTAACAAAAGTCCATAATCCATATTACAACACGTCCTTCAGTGAACAAGTCTATCCCCTGTTGTCCTCTCACATCAAGATCCACTGACATGTTTTTTAGACTTTTTTTCACTCGTGAACAGTGCTTGATCTGTGCATATTTCTGTCCTGATTAGGATTTCTCACTGGTCAAAACAGTATTATAGATAAATGACTTGTACTTTAGCAATGGTTTTAAAGTTAAAAATGCCTTGATGGATTTGTTTCTTACAAACAAGCATCTTTTTGCTTCACAAGTCGTTAATTGATGGAATGGATTAGTGAGGATTACTTGTGGATTACAGTGAAGTTTTTATCAGCTGTTGTCGGTCTCTCATTCTGACGGCACCCATTCACAGCAGAGGATCCATTGGTGAGCAAGTGCTGTAATGCTATATTTCTCAATTTGTTATAATGAAGAAACAAACTCTACATCTTGGATGGCATTAGGGTGAGTACATTTTCAGCTAATTTTCATTTTTGGGTAAAAAAAAGCTAAAAGGTATGAATTTATATTTATTTTAAACCACAACTACTCACATGTATGTGATATAACACATACTGTCTAAATTACATAGTCTCCTAAAGATAACATCTCATAAAAATGTGTTACTATCATTCTCACCCCAAAATGCTCAGTCGCTCATATGCTTGCACACACTTAAAAAGCGCTCTAACCCCAATTTGGATGAAAAAAGAACAAGTCAACACTTCTCTTTTGGTACTGTATACAAACCACCATGAAGCACAGAGCTGATCGACCGCAGGACTGTGCTGATGCACCACGATTCAGAAGCCACAGTTTTCTCTCGCGCACAGCTTTACACCCCAGTTTAGCAGGTAAGGGGTCATTCGCATATGTCTTTGTGTCCTGAGAACATTATGTAAACTAGGACAAAGCACAACCACCATTGAGACTACGCAGTAACCCCTAAAAAGTATTTGGACACTAGATGAACTTACAATGCACAAATGTTTTTGCATTAGATGCCAAGCGGCATCTGCACAGCAGGAGCGTTTCTCAGAACTAACTTCACTTTCGTTAAATGGTGTCAACATGAGTTTTTTTTTTAAATCTGAAGTATGAAGTCATTTCCTTCAGGTTCACACAGATGCCCTAGAACAATATTTATAGGTATAATTCACTGCATTAATGTTTGACAATCAGAAAGCATCTGAACACTTTGAGGTGTACATTCAATTCTGAATATTACATCAATTTGAAGAGTGCACCTGTGGTGCCTTCTTGTAAATAAATGCATGAGAATTAAATACATTATCAAAGTGGCAATGCCATTCACATTTAAGCCATTTATAATGCTGGGTGCAAGCATTAATTATGAAATATCCAAAGCAACTTTAAATTGCATTGAAAGTATAGATTTAAAAGTCATGCATTCCCTGGGATTCAAAATCATGACCTTGGTCAACTGTTTGAGCTATAGGAATGATAAAAAGGATCATATAATAATAATAAATATAAAATGAAAAATAAAGTAAGTGATTTAAAAATCAATAAAATAATAAATATCAAATAATATTTATTTTTCCTTTGCATTTTAATTCTGGTCTAGGCTTGTTCCCTAGTCTTTCTAATAAACCTGGAGTGGATTTGTAACAGATTGCCTATGCTCCTCTATTGTAAATCACTTTGGATAAAGTGTCTGCTAAATGCATAAATGCATTGTGTAAAAATGGAAAAAAAAAAAAAGATTTTAATGGGAAATTTTGGCTTTGTATTGTTTTGGAAAGATTTCAAAGAAATCAAACGGATAAACTGAACTTTCATTGATGCATGAATGAATTTTGCATTTTTTCCACTGTCTACTATCCTTCTTTTTTTTTTTTTTTACCGCTGGCAGCGGAAGAGAGGCAACAGCCACCATCTTTCAGCTCTTTGAGAGATACACAACATTTACATCCTGTTGCATGCATCCATTCCTCTGATCTACGTAAAAAGTAGGTGCATCCCAGACCAAATCTGCAACTCTGCCGTGCATTTTGTGTTTCTGCAAGCGTCTGTATGATTATCTATATGCCTTTTTTTTTAAATTCTGGGCAGATAAGAGTGTCTAGATTCATTTTTGTGTATTTGTACAACATATTACCTGAGGTTGATGACCCAGTCGTTGGCCTCCAGGGGTTTTCCAGGGCTGGTTTACCACAGTGTCTGCAGCATATCTCCCTCTCCTCTTGAACCTTTGGCTTCCTGTGGAAAATGTCGTCATGTTAGCGCCCATTCAAAGATTTCCATATTTTCCATGCGTAACTAGCGTAGACGATCGCATTTAGGACTTTATTCATCACCAACATATATCTTCAAAACTGCGTTTTCCGCTGGTGTTTTTTTTTTAAACCACTTGTTGATCAGGTCAGCTAACACCTGCAGGTTCAGTTGCACTTCTGGAGCTGCATTTGAACACATTCTAGTGTGTTGGCTAGACCACAGCTAATTCGGACCAGCAGGTAAAGGTCCGTGAGAAACCCACACGCTCTCAGGTGTTACTGCTGATAACCTCTGTTAGACTCGGTGTGTTATCACATTTGTGTCATTATTTAGGAGAAAGGGCACTACTATTTCAGTTTTAAAACACACTTCACAGAATTTTCGAATATACAATCTTGCAAACCGTTTAATGTAAATGCTTCAGCCTAAATAATTTAAATTAGTAGATTAGATGAATGCACATATATGCTTAGGTATGACTTTCCGCACACACTTTTTATGGACCGTATTGTGAAGGAAAAGCAGTCTATAAATGTTTATAGGAACTTAAATGCTTAAATGCTTAAAATGCATCCCAGGATGCACCTGATGGTTCAGCGTTTAAAAATACTGAGAAATGAGTAGGTGTGAAGTATATGTAGAGAAAATATATGAACAAATATTGATATACAGCACTCACTCCGTAGCCCAACAAACTGCCATTCAAACTGATCAAATCTGTTGTATCAAATGATTAAGAAAATCAATTTAGACTTACATCCCCTCCTTCTGTCTACGACCAAAAACTGTATGAACAAAGGTTTTGTGTTCAGGTAGCAGGAAACAATGCAAGCAGACAATGGTTTCCTTTGCCGGAGTCAAGCAGCCTGCAGCACGTCTACAGTGTGAAGGAAAGCCCATGCGACTCAAGTATATAGAATCAAAATAATATTAATAATATGCTCTACCAAATGTATTACATTAGTCTAACAGGCTCTCATAAATTTCACATTATTTGGGATGTTTAACCATGAAATGTGATATAATGTCTAAAATGGTGTGTGGGCGGCTTGTACTGTTTCCCTGTGCGTGTATAGGTAAAGAAAACAGCGTCTGCTCTCAGATGTTTCGTTTCAGCATTGATTGAGCAAAAGACGCATAAAGATCTCTGTCTCAATGGGGCACCTGTTTGTGTGTGTGGCAAATTAGGGAGTGGAACAGACTTTGGCTAAAAATGAGACTGAAATAGAACATCCTGCTCTGAGGGTGGCGATGACTGACTTTCATGTTTACTGTTTGTAAAGTCGGGGACAAATGGGGGGCTCCCCTCAGTTTCGGCCTTGATAGTAAGTGTTGTGTTCCAAAACACTCCACCAACATATCCAGTATTTAGTGCACATGGTGCTTCTGTGCTTTTATACTGGCTCAAACACTTAAAATTAACACTCTAATAAAAATAAACACTTGAATTATTTAAATGAGTGACTGACAGATCTTTATGAGCATAAGCACATCTATAGGTCATACAATTCAATTTTAATTATATTAAAATATGTATTATTCATACCCCAAAATGTTTCATTACAATGATAACATAATTGTCTTTATTGCATAATTACTGTTATTCACAGTATGCACTACAAATCATTATATATTATATCTGCACTGTTGTTTACTTCACTGGTTTGCACTCTATCTGCCATGTGCCGTGTGCTGCTTTATATATATATTTTATATATATTTTTTTTACATTTGACCTTATTTGTATATTTGTATAGTTGTATTTTATACTTAATCTGTATATCTGTATTTATGTTCTACTGTTAGTGTTACCTGTATGCACCAAGGGTCTGAGAGTAACGCAATTTCAATTCTCTGTGTGTATGTGCTGTACATGTGGAAGAATTGACAATAAAGCAGACTTGACTTGACTTATTCCACTGCAGTGGAACCACAGACGGTTATTAGTTCCCCATTTTAATGGAGCCTGTAGAAAGATAATTCTTGTAGGTGGAAAAGGGGGCTGGTTGGGGAAAATGTGTCCGTTGGAAAGTACAGAAAGAGAAGAGCATCACCTAAGTCACATTCATAGACACACACACACACACACACAAATGCAAGCATATACGCTACCCGTCAAAAGTTTGACACGCATGACTGAATTTGTTTCTCAACTTAAAAATGACGTTATAAAATAGTTTTGTAGATAAATACAATTTTTGCATATGAACTTTTGTACAAAACTTTGTACAACTATTTTTGATTTTTTTTTATGGATAGGTTGAAGCGGATAGTGAAGGTAAAGCAGTCAACAAGTGTGAACTCCTTCAATGCTGTTTAAAAAGCTTTTCAGGATTTACTACTATTTAATGAATGAAAAGAAAAAAAACCTTGCTTGGCACTACAGTATATTACACAAATAATATTTTATTGAAGTAAAATATTGTAGAGAACATGATTTTTCATTTTAAACTTAGAATCTGGATAAAAGTCCATTTCAAGCAACTGTAAGTTTTTCTAAGACTGCGTGGCCTCAGTTCCAAAATCTAATAATTTAAATAAGTCAAGCCTTACTATCTTGGTCTGTACAGACAAAGACGAAAGTTTGAGAATACTTTTTTTTTTTTATCTAATATATAAAACGCTTACAAAATTTTTTGTTTGCACTTTTAAATATTAAAATGATTAAATATTTAGTGAGAGGTGATATTAACTGATGCAAAAAAAAAAAAAAACTTCAAAGGTAAGCAAGATCAGATTTTGTGGTGTTTGCTCTTGGTTATGACTGTAAATGTGTTGCTGAATTCGTTAAAAAAGTTTACCAGGCTAATGGTGTTCCGCTGAAATTAGCTGACTATAATGTGGCTTCCTGTCGAAAATATCGTAAAAAAAAAAAAAAAAAAAAAAAATTTTTTTGGTATGTTTGGTTGCATACACAATACTGTGTTTGGTTGCATTGTCACAGGATGGTTTGAATCCACTTTTCCACGAGCCGTTCTTGTCACTGACTACTTGAAATCAATTCAAATCTTGAAATGACTTGAAAAATCTTTTTGTGGTTGAATATTCAAGACAACATGGATACTCTCTCAATAAACTCAACAATACAACAATCTCATATACGTATATATATAAATGCACCTGTATTTTCTTCTTTTCATTCAGTGCAGACGTTAAATGCTAGTTTTGTCTGCACGTCCAGTTCAGAGTTAAACAGGAAACGTTTGGTATTCCTGTTCGTCTCTGACACACACACACACACACACACACACACATCCTGGTATATTGCGTTGAGTTGGTCCGTAGTTGCGTTTGATGTGTGCGTACCTGAAGCTTTAGTGATACTCGCCCAAAAGTAAGCGTGACACATTTTCGAACACCAAAAAGGTGATGCAGCACGCTGGAATGACTCGCACCAGGTTCGGGACCATGCCTTTGTAAAAGCCCTCGATCCCCTAAGTACAATCGATAAGAACAAATGGTAATATAGTTTTTTTTTTAATGTAGAAAATAGTACCCATCTCTCTGATTATATTTTAATTGTTTATCTTTTTATTTTCTTATTTATTGACTTGTCAGGTTGATTGACTATTGTTTATTCATTCTTTGATTTATGTATGCATCTGGCTTAGGTAAAAATAGATGATTAATAGTAAAAAAACAAAACAAAGAAAAAGTAAAAAAAAGTTTTATAGGCCCGAACTTTAATTGTCCCGAACTCAAATAAACTATTCTTGTCTGCTCATTTGATGACACATATGTTGAGATATCAATGTCTAGATGTCTAACAGTCATGAATAAGATGATCAATCTTAACCAGACTTTTTACATGCATCCGAGGACTGATCAAACCTTTCATTGTTCAGCTGTTTTAAACGGAAAAAAGAGATCTTGTAGCCTTCAGACAGATAGACCAAAAGAAAGACTGAAACTTAGATAAGCCCGAAGAGGTAAATACACTTAGCAATATAAGCCATTTGACTTAATTTCAGAGATTGTGAAAGACATATTCAGAAGAATTCAGCAGGGTTTTTTCCTGAACTCATCAGCGTCACAACACCTCTAACCTACTTTCATACATCAGGCAGACAATCTAATTCACAAAATGAAACTCTAAGCAATGTTTAATCATTTCTATCTCACAATACATTCAACCATGAACTGGAATTGCATTGTCTGCGTATGGCACAACGCAGAGGCGGACATGTCTGGTCATGTCAGGCGGCAAAGGCCCTTTCGCATTTTGCATCACCTTTGAAATTTTGTTTTGGAGCTTTTGTGATGACGCCACAGACCTCTTCAGAATGTGAAACTCTGACTAATGCCGGTACGCTGAGACTCGTAAGAGTTCAAGTTTGTTTGATCAACAACAACAGTATCAAAGCCATACAGTAGGTCGGTTTAGATATGCATCTACTGTAGTAGCAGTGTGATGTGGTGTCTGGTGAAGCGTTTGATTACAGTACATGTCAGCTGCGTTCTAATTCCTCACAATTACGCAGAAAGTGATGCGGACTGTGTGGGGGAAAAACGGTTTTGATACTCGATCTGGAAATGCGTACAAAGAATGACACTCCAAATAAGAAACATGACCGTCCTGGAATATGAAATTTCCGTCTTGGGACAGTAACAAGATGTACAAGATTCAAGACGCAAGTATCTCAGTCGGCACTGTATGTTTTGTCGTCGATCTGACGAATGCGCAAACAAGAAAGTCGTAGAGTATCGAATGCCTGCAAAAACTTATGCTGATACAATCACTCCCCCTCAGCGAGGACGCAACGGTGACGGATTGTGTGGAACACATTGTACTGAGATGACGGTGCTTGATGTTCTAATTACTAGAATTGATGCTAAACTGGTTAAAAGTGAGACACACACATGCATCATACACACACACACACACAAGCAGTAAAGCATGAAAAAAAAAAAAAACGAAACAACTCGACGTTAATATTGTGAGGCATTATACCACACAGGTGTGTGCCCAAATTAACTGTTGAGAGTTTACTTTATTTCTGGC